ACGCGTGGTAACTCCACGCACCGTAGTTCCACGCGCTGGAATTCCACGCACCGTAGTTCCACGCGTGGAAATTCCACGCACCGTAGCTCCACGCGTGGTAACTCCACGCACCGTAGTTCCACGCGTGGTAACTCCATGCACCGTAGTTCCACGCGTAATAACTCCACGCACCGTAGTTGAACGCGTGGTAACTCCATGCGCTGTAGTTCCACGCGTGGTAACTCCACGCACCTTATTTCCACGCGTGGTAACTCCATGCGCTGTAGTTCCACGCGTGGTAACTCCACGCACCGTAGTTCCACGCACGGTAACTCCTCGTCCCGAAGTTCTACGCGCCGTACTTTCACGTGTTAAAATTCCACGTATCGTAGTTTCATGCATGGTAACTCCACGCACCATACTTTCATGCGCCATAGTTCCACGCGCCGTACTTTCACGTGTTGGAATTCCACGTATCGTAGTTTCATGCATGGTAACTCCACGCACCGTACTTTCATGCGCCATAGCTCCACGCGCCGTAGTGCCACGCGCTGTAACTCCACACGCTGTATTTCCACGCACCGTAATCTCATGCGCTGCATTTCCACGCGCCATAATTTCACATGCTGTATCCCAGCGCACTGTAACCTCACGCACTGCGACCTCACACATTATAACTTCACACATGTCTCCTCCACGCGCTCCATCCAATATCAATATACTAACGCACAAACCCCTCGCACTATATCGCCTATAACTGCCCGTCCCCAAAATATCTCAAGACCCGTCGAAGTACAATAACTCGAATAAAACAGTAGACGTCCAAAAGCAATTAATTTGGTCAAAGAATGTAAATCATCGATTGTGAAATAGAATAACATTGTAGTTAACCTTCGGCGACGCGATAATTCTTTGTAGACGTTCACAGAATGTTGCGAAGGATTCAAATTCGCCGCAACGGTTGCCAGTTAATTACAAACAATATCAATTTGATGGGAATCGTGTTGGCCGACGATACTCGTTATCCCGACATTCAGCCGAGAGTAGGCGGCTTTTGCGCCACATGCTCGCCGCTGAAAACACTTGTCAGTCTTCCAGGTTTGTTCTACTTCGAAATATTAATTTATACGACGTTGGTGTGCGTTCGGAGGGAAGCCCCGGCTTGGCCCCGATTATCATGCAGATCAGCCTCGTCGGATTCCGATCCGAACTGTGGAATTCACCTCGATTCGATGAAACGTAAGCTCTTCTTATGAATCGATGATACGGCACTTTGAAACGCCCGCGATCGGTCAGTAGTCATTGTAGTAGTTGAACAGCGTTAATCAACGTTGTTCTTGGTATTTACTCGATTTCGTGGAAGATGCTACTTCAGGTTACTTAAGAGGAGGTTTTTAGAATAGCTTGTAGTGTCTCTGTTATTGGATTAATGTAGGTAGGATGAGTAGACGAGTAAACGAGTAGAGAATACGTGATCAGACAGAACAGGTGACTGTACAGATGATCGAACAAGTTGACAGGTTCGTAGTGAATGAATAGATGAGTAGTTAAATGCAGGAGTGGATGAGTAGATGAGTGGATCAGTGGATGAGTGGATGAGTAGATGAGTAGATGAGTGAATGAGTGGATGAGTGAATGAGTGGATGAGTGGATGAATAGATGGGTGAATGAATGAATGAGTGAATGAGTGGATGAGTGGATGGATAGATGGGTGAATGAATGAATGAGTGAATGAGTGGATGAGTGGATGAATAGATGGGTGAATGAATGAATGAGTGAATGAGTGGATGAGTGGATGAATAGATGGGTGAATGAATGAATGAGTGAATGAGTGGATGAGTGGATGAATAGATGGGTGAATGAATGAATGAGTGAATGAGTGGATGAGTGGATGAATAGATGGGTGAATGAATGAATGAGTGAATGAGTGGATGAGTGGATGAATAGATGGGTGAATGAATGAATGAGTGAATGAGTGGATGAGTGGATGAATAGATGGGTGAATGAATGAATGAGTGAATGAGTGGATGAGTGGATGAATAGATGGGTGAATGAATGAATGAGTGAATGAGTGGATGAGTGGATGGGTGGATGAGTGGATGAGTAGATGAGTGAATGAGTAGGTGAGTGGATGAGTAGATGAGTGAATGAGTAGGTGAGTGGATGAGTAGATGAGTGAATGAGTGGATGAGTGGATGAGTGGATGAGTGGATGAGTGGATGAGTGGATGAGTAGATGAGTGAACGAGTGAATGAGTGGATGAGTGGATGAGTAGATGAGTGAATGAGTGGATGAGTGGATGAGTGAAGGAGTAGATGAGTGGATAAGTAGATGAGTAGATGAGTAGACCAGTAAATGAGTAGATGAGTAGATAAGTCGATGACTAAATGAGTAAATGAGTAGATGAGTAACCGAGTAACTGAGTAGGTAACTAATCAGACAAGTGAGTAGTCGAACATAAACTCTAAAAAACCAATCTAAACTCGACAATTCAGCACATGCAATAAGAAACTCTTCGTCCTCGAATATTCAAATAAAAAATGTAGACTCAATTGCAAATTTAATTGGAAATTCAATTGCAACGGGCAAACAATCAGTGCTCCCATTTGCAGAAAAGCTATCTGATCGAAGAAATTCACGAAATCGATCTGTGAAAACATCAGCTTTCTTATCGGCGAGCGAACACTAGCTCGTAATTGGATGCTGCGACTCAAAAAGACGGAATTAAAATGGAGGACAGAAGAGACCGGTTGAAGAACGAGGACTCCAGCGAGAGCAGAAAATATCTTGATCCAGCATATTTGATCAAACGGAGAATAGTTCGACTGAAAGAAAATTCTTATTTTCTATTCGCCTCCTGATCTTTATCCACGGTGCGTCATCGCTGCACTTTGTACGCCATATATCGAACAAATCTTTAACCGGCTCTTGTTATTAAATGGAATTAACAAATTCGATTTCTTGAGAAACCTTGTCGCAAGAAAGCTAACGAGATTATTTTCCTGCTTTGCCATTTTCGAAAGTTGAAGCGTTCTTTAGGAAGGTGCCATAACCTCAATGTAACTAGACTCACTAAACATAACCACAATTTAACCAGACTCATTAAACATAACCTCAATGTAACCAGACTTAATTCAAGCATGATGGGTTGAAGATAAAAAGCAAGTCGTAAAGAGTATCAATGAAATAAATATTGAGACGTAACTTAAGTGAACGTAACTTTGACATAATTAAGACCTAAACACAGCCTGAGTAACCTAGTCTAACCGTACCTTAAGTCTAACAGAAACATAACCTAAAAACTAGAGAATAATAAACAAGTTCATATAAAAAGAAAAACCTTGGAACTATTAATATACTTTATAAAAATCATTCAATTTTACATAAAAATTTTGAATATTCAAGAACTGAATATATTTGACTAAAAATTATATAAACAATCGACTTCTCTAGGTTAACAAAATGTAAAAAAGATTGAATGTATAACAATATCAATTGAATTTGTAAAAATATCGATCGAATTCTCAGTAAGACAGAAGAAATCGATAAATAATCGAAAACAGGTGGTCATAGTTTGGAGAAAATCCAAAATTTCGTCTGTTAGCCGTCACTGTTCGAAGTCTAGAGGATAGGAGAGGAATTATAACAGGGCCGACGGGTCAGAACAACAAGCAGCATTGTACAAGTCGTAAATACAGGGGTCGAACACGACTGAAAATTAAACGAATCGTAAATTTTCTTCCGTTTTACTGTGGGCCTCAGTTTGTGTTTCTCTCCGTTTCCTTTTTTAACGCGTGATATATGGCCGGGGCTTAATTTGCATTCGGATATTGTACGCCATGTTTTTCATGGGTGTCTTGCGCGTTTACGAGGATAATATTGTTTTTTCAGAAATTGCGTGTTAATTCTGCGAATCGAGGATATTTCGTGGTTTTTTTAGATTGACGGTGCTTACACTTTCGAAAAATTTAGAGGCAAAATTGGTTTTTAAAATTTAATACCAGGAAAATATTGGGCCTTGAAAAATTCAGACTTTTCGAAAAATGAGAAAAGTTAGGTTATGGGGGTTTTAAGGTTAGGTTAACAATTTAATTTCATTTCGAAATTATACAAAAATATTCACTTTCTGTAAATGTGGGGATCAGAATAAATAAATAAGTCAATTATTTGGACCTTTTTAAGCTTCCATTTTCCTAAGTTTCTACAGGAAAATGGAGGACCACCGATTAAGTCCATAAATGTTTTAACTAATATTATTATAATTTTGAACGATATTAATATTAAAAAGAAATGTTATTACCGTTACAAAAAATACTAATTATTATTGTAAAAAAAGTGGTTATCGATGTCAGTTATCAATGTTAATTTTCGAAATTCAAATTTCCCGCGGAATACGAAGCAACTCGAATACAAACTGCAAATTTTATTTATATCGCAAACCCATTTACATCAGGGTCTTGATCTTGGCATACACTTAATTTCTTCCCCTAATTTTGGGTACTTCAATGTCTTGCAAGCAACAATTTAAAATAAACAACTTATTTAATAATTTCTTCGACTAGGACCATTTAAGCATACGACTAAAATAAATCAATTCAAATATTTGAAAAAGTGTAAAATTAATTTTTATTAAAGTAAATAATTTTTATTAAGTAAAATTAATTTTAGAAGTCTTTCTGCAATTTTAAAAATAATTTCTTCAGTCATTTTTTTAAATTACGTAAGTTTCATAAGCCTTCACATAAATTTCTGTATTTCCCTAAACTTTAAAGAATCAATTTTTAATGAAAATTGTTTAACAAAATTGTTTAACAAATTCTTTCAACAAATATTTTGTTTAACAATTCATGCTTTCATTACCTAAACAATTATGACCATACAAATTTAATTTTCACGAAGATTCTGTATTTCAAGTTATAAATTTTCATAAGCATAAATTTGTCAAAAATATTCCTTTGACAAACTTAATTTTTTTCCTATAAATTTCACCCTCGTGCCCCCAAAAAAATGTGCATACTTACAATTTTCGAACGAACCGATCCCGCCATAAATCGTCCAACAGCGTTCAACGACAAAGTAAGAAAACCCGACGTATCTTTCACATTTAGTTTTTCAAAAAATCCGACCGATCCACGCACACACACGAAACACGCACGAAGATGGAACTGAAAGGAGCGAACCGTAGACCTCGCGGCACGAAGGCCCGCGCACCACTGGCTCTCGTGTCTCGACGGCACGCGTTACTTCGCCGAAACAGTGGAGTGGGAAACACCCTGGTGGGGACAGATATTTTCACGAGTTCGTATTCTCCCGTTCTAGCGGGCTTTTACGAATGCCTCACGAATATTTCCGAGCGAAATGACGGATAGCTGGCGAGAACTTGTGCGCACCCAGTTCGCGCATCTCGATATTTCGTTTTGTTATTTCTAGGCTACGGATGTTTATGCAATTATGTATGCAAAATATATGCGACGATTCGTTTGTTTCGGGTGGAAAAACAAAACGAGCGGAAATATGCGGTGCTTTCGGATTTTAATCGGGGGTCGTAAGTCTCTTTGTAAACTGTGTAACATTGAGCTACCTTGTTTCTTACTTTTACTTAATTGTTTCTTTTTATATTTTTATTTAATAGCTTTATAGGGAGGCTCTTTATAAACTGTGCAACACGGAGCTAACCTGTTCCTTCTTACTTTTACTTAATTATTCTTTTATGAATTTGCTTTCTGTTTTTGATTAATTGTTTAACTATGAGTCTCTTTATCAGAATTTGATACACAGAGCTACCCTGCTTCTTCTTACTTTTACTTCATTATTCTTTTATGAATTTGTTTTCTATTTTTGATTAATTGTTTCATTATGAGTCTCTTTATCAGAATTTGATACACAGAGCTACCCAGCTTCTTCTTACTTTTACTTAATTATTCTTTTATGAATTTGTTTTCTATTTTTGCTTAATTGTTTCATCATAAGTGATGGGTCAAAGTGATCCCAGTTATATGAATTTATGAATGTGGTATCAATTGATTTGTTTCACTTATGAAGGTGCCAGTAGAAAAATCGAAGGAAAATTGATAAAAATTAGGGAAGCTATAATTCCGTTTGCCGATTCCTTCGTCCAAAATAGAAAAATCGCACGGAAAACTCCCATATCATTTCTCCCTCTTCCGCAACAAGAATTCTTAGTGTACAATGATGAATGGCGAGGAAGAAATAGCGAAAGGGATGCTCACGACCCTCGCCAGGGTTACACAAGGGTCCAGCGAAACTTGGAGCCTCTCTTCAGCAGGTCGAGTAGGGTCTACAGGAAAGTGTATTCCAGGCGGTAGAAAACTGCACGGCAGCTACGTGTATCTTTTCTTCCTACTTGGAAGGGTTGTTCCGACGCTTTTGTCTCGGTTACCTCCGGCTGATGCACCCAAAATATTTCATCAGCTACTGTACTAGAAATTCTCGACTTACTGGAAAACTTACCGTGTCAGAAACGTTTGTACTATTTTATAGTCTGACTTGTGACGCACTGGGACATCGTGATCAATTTTATTTGAATTAATAGACTTTAATTTGGAGTTCAAGTTATTTGCATGGTTTGATACCAAATTTTCACGCGCCATAGTTCCATGAATGGTAATTCCACGCGTCGTAGTTTCACGCACTGTAACTCCACGCGCTGTAGTTCCACGCGCCACAGTTCCACGCACCGTAGTTCCACGCGTGGTGACTCCACGCGCTGTAATTCCACGTGCTGGAATTCTACGCGTGGTAAGTCCACGCGCCGTAATTCCACGCGCTGGAATTCCACGCACCGTCATTCCACGCGTGGTAAGTCCAAGCGCCGTAATTCCACGCGTTGGAATTTCACGCACCGTCATTCCACGCGCCGTAATTCCACGCGCTGGAATTCCACGCACCGTCATTCCACGCGTGGTAAGTCCAAGCGCCGTAATTCCATGCGTTGGAATTTCCACGCACCATAGTTCCACGCGTGGTAACTCCACGCGCCGTAATTCCATGCGCTGGAATTCCACGCACAGTCATTCCACGCGTGGTAAGTCCAAGCGCCGTAATTCCACGCGCTGGAATTTCCACGCGCCGTAGTTCCACGCGTGGTAACTCCACGCGCCGTAATTCCATGCGCTGGAATTCCACGCACAGTCATTCCACGCGTGGTAAGTCCAAGCGCCGTAATTCCACGCGCTGGAATTTCCACGCGCCGTAGTTCCACGCGTGGTAACTCCACGCGCCGTAGTCCCACGTGTGGTAACTCCACGCGCCGTAATTCCACGCGCTGGAATTTCCACGCACCGTAGTTCTACGCGTGGTAAGTCCAAGCGCCGTAATTCCATGCGTTGGAATTTCCACGCACCATAGTTCCACGCGTGGTAACTCCACGCACCGTAATTCCACGCGCTGGAATTCCACGCACCGTCATTCCACGCGTGGTAAGTCCACGCGCCACAATTCCACGCGCTGGAATTTCCACGCATCGTAGTTCCACGCGTGGTAACTCCACGCGCTGGAATTCCACGCACCATAGTTCCATGCATGGTAACTCCACGCGCTGGAATTCCACGCACCGTAGTTCCACGCGTGGTAACTCCATGCGCTGTAGTTCCACGCGTGGTAACTCCACGCGTCGTACTTTCACGCATTGAAACTTCACGCGCTGTAGTTCCACGCGCTGGAATTCTATGCGCCATAGTTCCACGCGCTGCAATTCCACGCGCCATAGTAACGCACCCTACAGTTCATACGTGACCATACCCACACTTTCTTCGTCATCAAACTTTGTCTTCACTTCTAATAACACTCTTCATAATCAATGATCTTCGAATACAAAACGTGCATAATTTTTCAATTCTAATATTGCAGCTGTTCTTAATCTTAACGCACCTGACCAATTATAGTGCAAGAGCATAAGTGACTCGAAATCACGATTTCCCAGAATATTCATCAACAACAGGTTCATGAACCCTATCAGGTAGCAGAGTGCAAACCCTGAAGAGTCACCGTTGTGGCATCAGCTAATGCGGACAAAGTTTGCTCGAATGTTTAGAGACCACCTTACACCACGTGTTCTCCTTAATTGCAGTATTATGCAAACAACTATGCCCTCTGTTAACACGTAACTTGCTCTCTGACCGCTAGACTGCGACTAAACTATGGGAAATTTCGTGGGTTTGTACGTGGACGCAACATTCGGCGTCCTGGATATACGTTGGATCACTTTATATACCTAGTATCTCGTGTATGTTATATCGCCGAATGGCTGCCATAATATTTCAGTGATGCTGAATAATATTTAGAGTTTCATGACCCGTGTTGCAGACTGACGAGTCACGTTTCGAGAACAGCCTGTATACCATCAGCCTCGAGGTTCATTAATATTCATCAACACAGCACCTGGTCATGAAATTTCGATTTTTGCAATAGTCACGGCCGTACTGGGGACACTGTCTCTTAACCTTATTCTACGAGCAATTATTTTTCAGGCGGGAATCGATAGGGACCCTTTGGGAGATTAAAGCTGTTCGGAATCGATTTGGCAAGTACTCTTCGGTTCAAAGTGAAGGTTCAGCTTTTTAGCGGGCTTGGAGGATGGGCTCTTGTTATGTTACTACGATTTTAGGAATGTACGTCAGAAATGCTTTAGTAATGTTATAGTGTAGGGGAAATGAAGGTATGGTGTAATTTCACGTGCTGTAATTACACGCGCCGTAGTTCCACGCATTGTAACTCTACGCCGCGTAGTTCCACGCCTCATAGTTCCACGTATCGTAATTCCACGCGTCATAGTTCCACGCGCCATAGTTCCACGCGCCGCAGTTTCACGCGTGGTAACTCTATGCGCCGTAGTTCCACGCGCTGTAGTTCCACGCGTGGTAACTCCACGCGCCGTAGTTCCACGCGCTGTAGTTCCACGCGTGGTAATTCCACGCGCCGTAGTTCCACGCGTGGTAACTCTACGCGCCGTAGCTCCACGCGCTGTAGTTCCACGCGTGGTAATTCCACGCGCCGTAGTTCCACGCGTGGTAACCCCACGCGTCGTAGTTCCATGCGTAGTAACTCCACGCGCCGAAATCCCACGTGCCAAAGTCTCACGCACTGTAATTCCACGCGCCGCAACTCCACGCTCTGGAGTCTTACGCGTCGTAATTTCACGCGCCGAATTTCCACGCGCCGTAATTCCACGCGTGGTAATTCCACGCGCCGTAATTCCACGCGTCGCAACTCCACGCTCTGAAGTCCCACGCATCGTAATTTCACGCGTTGAATTTCCACGCGTCGTAATTCCACGCGTCGAAATCCCACGTGCCGAATTTCCACGCGCACTAATTATGCATACCGTCATTTCATACGCCCTAGTTCCATACGCAACAATTCCACCCACTGAAGTTTCACGCACCATAATTCCTTCCACTCCCCCGTAACCCCACGCTGTATCGTCAGCGATTGAGTCTTCCCCATCAACAGTAACATAACTATATCCTAAAATTCTCTTACCATTGTCCCAAGAATAACGAGGTACTCGAGAAGCTTCGTTTTGATGGTTTATGGTAAAACTTTCGTACGGTCTGGTGATTCGATCGACTGAAAGCTGACTAGGTTCCAATTCTGCGACTGCCTACAAAATAAGGGCTCAGCCCTTAAGCAGATTCCAAATTCGAATATATACCTTGAAATCCTATTACCAGTGGCTTCAGCATAACGAAATACTTGAAAAGACCTTGAAGGCTTTATGGTAAATTTCTTAGGAGCTCTAGAAGATTCGTCCTTGATTATGTTTTCGGTGAAATGCAAATATCAAAAGTATTTTGGAGGTTGTTCAAGATGCTCGAGTTGCGGAGTCGATAAACGTCAGCATGCAGGAAGCTAATAAATATTGGCACACGCGACAGGATCCCTTTTTCAAACCGCAATCGTGATTCTTTTTCCGCTGCGAAGATGTCAGCCTGTCTGTCCGTGTCTCCATTTGTGTCGATTTACTTATGAGAAGTTGTTCGAATCGATCGTTTCGCGTTGGGCCACGCCACAGTCCCATAGGATCCAATGTTCCTCAAAATGACGGACATTAAACATGTACATGTTAAGCCACTGAAATATTGAGGCGCACTTCGAATGATAAGGTGTTTAGCTTGAAGGATGTGTGTTGAATTGTTAGCAAGGTAGGATGTGGAATTCGATGAATTATTAATTCGATGAACATTAGGTTACTTAGGGTAATTATCTGGGTGGGGTTAGATCGGGTGGATAGTTGAGCTGTTAGGTAATTAGATAGTTGATATTCAGATAGTTGGGTAGATGGGTAGTTAGTTCTAGGTACCCAAATTGATGGTTATGCAATCTGGTAGTTGAATAGTTAGGTAATTGAGCAACTTGGATAGCTCAGCACATGAATCTATTACGTAGGGTATCAAGTTAAGTACCAATCTCAGCCTAGCTGTCTCAAATATCAAATAACAGTGAAGCTAGATAGACAGGTAATTTGGCAGCTACTTAGATAATTCATCAGATGTATGTTCAATGAATGTATCAAATAGGGTATCAAGTTAGGGTACTTATCTCAACCTAGCTCTTTCAAATGTCAAATAACAGTGGAGCTAGTTAGATAGGTAATTGAGTAGCTACTTAGACAGTTCATCAAATGCATGTTCAATGAATCTACCAAATAGGGTATCAAGTTAGGGTACCAATCTCAACCTAGCTCTTTCAAATGTCAAATAACAGTGGAGCTAGTTAGATAGGTAATTGAGTAGCTACTTAGACAGTTCATCAAATGCATGTTCAATGAATCTACCAAATAGGGTATCAAGTTAGGGTACCAATCTCAACCTAGCTCTTTCAAATGTCAAATAACAGTGGAGCTAGTTAGATAGGTAATTGAGTAGCTACTTAGACAGTTCATCAAATGCATGTTCAATGAATCTACCAAATAGGGTATCAAGTTAGGGTACCAATCTCAACCTAGCTCTTTCAAATGTCAAATAACAGTGGAGCTAGTTAGATAGGTAATTGAGTAGCTACTTAGACAGTTCATCAAATGCATGTTCAATGAATCTACCAAATAGGGTATCAAGTTAGGGTACTAATCTCAACCTAGCTCTTTCAAATGTCAAATAACAGTGGAGCTAGTTAGATAGGTAATTGAGTAGCTACTTAGACAGTTCATCAAATGCATGTTCAATGAATCTACCAAATAGGGTATCAAGTTAGGGTACCACTCTCAACCTAGCTCTTTCAAATGTCAAATAACAGTGGAGCTAGTTAGATAGGTAGTTGAGTAGCTACCTAGATCATCAAATGTTCAGTGAATCTACCAAACAGGGTACCAAGTTAGGGTACCAATCTCTTAGCCTCAAACGTCAAATGAAGCTACTCGAGTCCACATGTATAATCAATGAACCTACCAAATAGGGTATCAAGTTAGGGTACCAATCTCTGTATGAAATAATAGCGAAGCAGTGTTCATAAACCTCAAATTGGATTCGTCATAATTTAATGCATTCAAAATGGTGTATCTTCGCAGCGCCGACTAAATAAACACTCGACTCATCTTCCCGAGACGAACGTGCTTCCGTTTCACGGAATCGGATTCCAGAAACGAGAGCAGTCGATTCACGGAAAAAATAATTGGACTCGAATAAAAATATTAAACTGCTACATCGACCGTCTTTTAATAGTACGCCTAACCTAGTTTCCAGGTTTCAGAATTTCGCGTATCCGATTTCATTAATTTGCGGAGGAAATTTTCGAGGGATGGAGGATTAAGGTGACTGTTGGTCTAACCACTTAACTATTCAAATAGGTGTCTAGTCGTGTAGATATCTACTTATTATGTAGATATTTGGCTACTCTAATTACGGAACTGTTTAAGTACCATTTAACTTTCTAAATTGCTAATTGACATAACTAATTACCTAGCTACTTGGGTAGCTAAGTATGCATTTATTAGACTAACTATGCAGCTATTCAACTACCAAATTACCATCTAACTTTACCTAACTGACACGTGACCTTGAACTAGCTTGGAATTTAAACGAACCTCTGCAGAGCTTTGTCTTTTGACTAAACTGTATTTAGGCTAAATTTCCACCATGCACTGTTAGGTTATAAAGGAAATTAAATTTACCAAAGTGTGAAGAGTAATTTATCTCAAAGGTCCTCGGCATCAAGGTATCTCTAATAACGCAAAATGTAAAAGAGAACGAAAATGGCGGCCATGTAGGGAAATTAAAGGAGTAGGTAATTAACGGTAGTAAAAATCAATATCAATATCCGAGATAAAAGAATGAAAAAAGGAAGATCAGTGATTTAATAACGAAGAGACACGCGATTTCATCGATCATAACCTCCACGTCAACAGCACAATTTTATTTTTCGCCTGAAATCTGATCGATACAATCGTACAATTCTTCGATCGACAGATTATTTCGTTTTCATCATTTTTTTTTTCTTTATTCGTTTCCTTTGTTTTTTCTTTTTTTTTCAAGTTTAATTCTCGATTACACGACGGCGCAGGCTGCTTCATCTTTCTGAGTTCACACGAATAATTAACGGCTTACAATTACACTTCATTACAGATTCAATAATATATATATATATTTATATATTTATATATTCATATATAATAGGTATTTTTTGTTTTCTTTAATATATTTCTTTATGTACAGAGGGCAGCTTGCCTAGTAGGTTTATAACGTCACGTGACCATTGAAGTAATCAAAATGGACGCTGATCGTCACTGATAATTGACGCCAGATATCGATTCCGTTTTCGCCGACTAACTACATTTTCCTATACACACTCGTCAATTATTCGCCGATAAAGTATCCAACTTTCACCCGATTTCTCGTTTCATGGAAACGAACAAAGTTTAACATTTATGAATTTATTTTTATAGGTTAATTAAACTAAATCAGGTCAATTTTCGAGTGCCCACTTCAATTGCTACGTTCTCGATCGATAGAACGTTTGCGAGCGGAACAAATTCGTGTATTTTGAAAACGTTCGCTTATTGTCACGTGGAAAACATGAATTTTTGCTATTTAACGCGTTCTGCTTGCTCACGAGAAGGCAAGTAACATACGGAAGTAACAAATGCTAGATTAATAACCATTGTCCACTCAGGTGTTTGTGACATTAATCAGATCAAATTACTTTGCGTAAATTTACTCAAACGAACGTGTCACTTTCCCTAAATTTTGCAATTTTCTAAGGATAAAAGATCTTAACTCTAAATTTTCCTAAATGGCAAACTGAAACCCTCGATGGAAAACTTGTCCGAATCTTCAAATTTCTCCATAGTTACCCAGGTTCGCTAGCCATTGTGTGTTCAACGTCCACGCCAATCTGCTCCAATGGTCACGACAATTCTATTAACATCGTCTCAGGTGCCCGAGCATCGAACCACTCTCCGAAAATCGAATTTAAAGTTGTGCATCGATCGACGTCGTCTAAAAACAGTTTCAAAAGGGAAACGCTTCCAAAAGTTCATTTTTCGGGGCAGAAAAGAAGAATCTATAGAATAGAAACGCGCGATGTGGATTTTGTTTCGTTAGTCGCGTGAACCCCGGATCCACGGGGTCTCCCTGCACGGTCCGCGCTTGCGCAGCGCCGACTGCGCACCCTCGCTCGAACCCGCGCGCCTTGGCGGCAGATTCGAACCTCCTCTACGCGTAATTCGATGTTCCACGTTATGGTAGCAGTAAAATTCGTCGCGACGGGGTTCGTGCGAGATTTCCCTTTCGACGAAAATGAACGACGTCTGCTCGCGATCGGACTCGGATCAGCTCGATGACACCTCCGCGTAATCAGGCTACAACCATCATACATATTTATATATATGTATACAGGGCGAATCGAGTAATATTGGTCGGTCCGATCGTTTTTACCATCGATCAATTTGGACGAGTGCAAACCGATCCATCGATCTTGACACCGGAGCAAAAGTTACTGTAATACGATCTTGTGGTTGTTTCAAATCAGTGTTCTGGTTAGCCTTGGTCCAAGTACCGATGGCAGAAACGACCGGTTCGGTCACGTTTCACGGTTCATCCTGTACATATACGTATTTTATGTGCACATATATAAATATATCGATCGAGAAAGGAGGAAAGAAAAAGAGTAGAACGAAGAATGGCCGGAAAACAGGGGTAAAGGAACGACGAACAAGATGAACTAGAGCCAACATTGTCACTCGACCTTCCTCCTCCTCCTCTTTCTCTCTCTCTCTCGCTCTCTCTTTCTCTGTTCCACGCATACCGTTACACACACGCGACAGAGTACACACACGGCCAGGTACGCACACGCATTCGTCCACACATGTACAGGCATACACGCGTTTTTCATCTAATATTTCTCCTCCTTCGTCTTCCTTATTATTTTTTCGTTATTCAGCTGGTATCGCGATTAAATGGCCTTGCACGTTCTTAGCAATTACAGTTGTCGCTCGCTTGATTGGTCGGCTGATCGGTTAGTCGTTGACCCTTCGCCTGACCCACGCCGACCGCGAGCAAGGTCGGATCGTTGTCCAAGGACTCGCTCATCTTGTCGCATATTATGTCCACCAGCTGCTCGAACACCGTCTGCGAAAAACAAACAGGTTCACTTGCTCTGTTATTACGTGACCTACTTTTCGAGTTAGAGGCGCTTTTAAAACTTTACTCCAGAAGCTAAATGTGTCAGATAATATAGAAGATGAATATTCTAGCCTTCATTACTAACCTGAATTTACTGGGTGATGTACGAGTAATCTGAGCTGGGTATGCACATGTTTTAAGAGCTGATGAGCTAGGTGTGGGTCTAACGTTAGGTGCTGTAGTCTGACCTTCTACTCCAGAAGCTGTAGTAATCTACTTCAGACCTATCTGTATTACAATCTGATCTGATGGATCAATGATCTGACCTGGACGAATGATCTAACCTGGATGAATGATCTGACCTACACCTGTGGACCTAACTCCATCAGAACCTGTGTTCAGATAATCAGATCCAAAACTGTCTTAACCTGTTTGTTAACCCAAAGTTTCCTCACATTTTAGCTTAATTAATTTAAACAAGAAACATAAACCCATGTGCTCTAAAGCCTGAACTAACATAACCTCGTTACCGTAATTGTAGGTCAAGCAGTACAACCGAAAGTTAAATTGCGTCACGTAAGAATTTCTTGCGATAATTGCTCAGACATTATCGTTAAAAACAGATGAGTAGAGAAATCGATAGACGTCGATGTGTCAATGCCAGTACGGCCGATTATGCGAGGGTGATTAATGGGTGCAGATGAGCGTTAATCGAGGACGCCCGATCGAAGGTAATGGTACACCGTGCACACACCTCGTGGATGGAAATAAGTGCTGAAACGTGACACAACCTTTCCACCGTCTATTAGTTATCCTAGATAATGGACTCGGCAAACAGTCCGAGAAAAATGAAAATTGTCTGAGTTAGGGTCAGACGTCTACTTAAGTCTGGAGTTAGTAGAGCTACTCGATGTGGATAGATTGGTGTTGGGACTCTAATCACTTCTTCTATACTTGAGCTGAGTCATCTTTCTTTTATGCCGAGACTTCACCACCGGGTACCAGGTACAGATGTGTACTTGCCGTTAGGCAGCTCTGTGCTTCAGTTAGGTTTGGGCTACACCTAGGTTAGATTGTTCATTTATTACACTTTGCAATGCTAGCTTAGGTCT